GACATGTGATAATATTTATCGCAATAACCAGATAAATAATTTTGAAAGAACGCTTAAGTGCCGCGTGAAGAATAACAATAATGATAATTACAGCCGATATATGGTTTTCGCAATAAAAATAATTTCAAATTTGATTATCGATTTAATAGGAAAGGGGTAAAATTTAGATTTAGCTTTGAGTGCGCACGCACGCACATTGTCAAATCGTTAATGGTGCGTAGTTCGAACATGATATAAACCTTTCATGTAGATCCTCAATGATCTTGCCTTTGGCGGATTATCAGTAATAATTATCTAGTAATCTTATCTTCATCGGTCAGAATTGCTCTGATCTTGCTGATCTTGCCTTCACTAATTGGATCATGCCGATCTTGACTTAGTTAGCTGAATTCACGATTGATCTTGCTTTAGTTGACTAAATCTACAATTAATCTTGTCTTAGTTGGCTGATTCACACACAAGAGGTGTAAACTAAGTATCATTCACGTAGTACACCTTGGGTAATGCTAATGCTGACGGTATTATAACTTTCAGCTTTCATAACTTAGAAAATACTTAATGAAAAAATATTTTTTAACAGTGTTTTGAAAAGCTGTTGATGCCATCTATTATGTTCTGAAATAAAAAATAGGATGTTCCATTTAAAAAAATCGATGTGACCTTGACTTGATCTTGGCGATGCCATCCAAAAGTCAAACTGATAAGATCAGTAAATAGATCTCTTTAAGTCTTACAACTTTTGTCTGAAATATTTTTTTACAAAACTTATATTTTTCGAATTATTCAGGGGTATTGACCTTTTTTCTCCACCCTTTATACATATTGTCACACGGCGATCACAATCATTAATTGCGCTCACTCCCGCATTTCCACACACATTCGCGATTTGGAAGGAAGCCACGCACGAAATAATCAAAACTTTCTTTTACGAAATTCAGAAACTTTATTAAAGGTAACAGAACAATTAGAACGTCACGGACATCTGTCCTCGAGACATCGCGTAAAACAACGCGTAGTCAAGAATATCCAAAACACTGTGCAACACGTTGGTAGGGAATGATCCTCTTTTTGAAGTATTGATTTTCGGGTATCGATTTTTCGGGAACAACAACGAGCGGATCATCGCTCGGTCATAACAATATATATACATATACAAGTTGTCTGAGACCTTATATACCTTTCATCTCAGAAACATAGCATTTTAGAAAAAAAAATTTTAGAAAAAAGTTGTATGGTTTCGAGTTATACATAAGACGTTATCATCGATTTGACCTTGAATAGTCACTTGAAATTCATATGAAAGTCACGTTGATTTTTCCAAGTGGTATCCTTATTTTTCATTACACGCTCTTGTAACTTATTTGAAACCTTTCCAAAACATTACAATTAAATATCTTTTCATTAAGAACTTTTTGAGTTACAAGACTTAAAAATTTCAACATTTTGACAAAATACAAATATCTTAAAACATCCAGTTTTCGGTAATCTTAATATTTTTATGCATAGATTAATGAGACTAATTAATTGGTGTTATAAAAACACGTAATTATTTTTAAAAAAAGGTTGTATAATTGCTTATTACAAATTCATTATTCTTTTGTCTCTCACGATTCGGGATGATAGATTATCGTATGCTCTCACGTTCGGAACGCTTAATTAATGTGAGTCCCTTCATGATTCGGAGATGAATGAGTATATGTTTGCCTAAGCGACTAAGTGTTCAAAGTGAGCACAATTCTCTGCGGTGCAAGCATCTATTTGAATAGCAATTTGTTGCTCAAAGAATTTCCTCAGCACCTAAGAATCGAATGGCTTCACTTATTGTACGAATCATATTATTCCTCGTAATCAGATCAATGATGGACCAATTTTTTTATCCTTCCCCAGAAATAATAGGTGAGATTTGGTTAATATTAAAAAAATTACTTGAAATTAGATAACTTTAAAAAAGTTCTGAAGTTATTAAGTAGAATTGAACAAGATTCCGATTGTTTTTGTTATCATGGAAGAGTGAATGAGCGAGAATGTATCTTCAGAATTGATTGCTTTGGTCATCTCGTCTTACATGTGGATAGGAATTCGACGAGGAGCCTGCTTTATTGAACGACAATCTTTCAATTTAATTTCATGCTCAACAATTCACAATTTCCAGCAACAACATTTTTGGAAAATATGTTCTGAAATTCATTAAGAAAATTAACAAAAGCCTCCTTCTGAGCTTCATTTAAACTAAAAGAATTTTGGGCAAAAAGTTCCGATGTTATAATTTTAAATAGGAGATTTGTTGGAAATGAGAGAAAACTTGGGTAAGAAGGTTTTGATCTGAGATTCCCTACTGAAGGAAAAGGAGGAATCCAATAAAGACAAGAGAGTCCAAATTAAGAAAAATCAAGTTTGGGAAAATATCTCAAAGAATTTCCAGTATTTGTGGTAAAGATTAAAGACAATTGCATTTTGAGAGTAGATTTTTTAGAAAATTAAAATTGAAGAATATTTTTATTCGAAAATTAATCTAGTAGAGGTGAATAAAGTAACAATTACAGAGTGTTGAAGGGTAAAGAGAATTTTTCTTAGATGTTTTGGTAGTATTGAGAAAAAAGTCCCTATAAATTTGAAAGAACTTTTTGCCCAAAATTCTTTTAGTTTAAATGAAGCTCAGAAGGAGGCTTTTGTTAATTTTCTTAATGAATTTCAGAACATATTTTCCAAAAATGTTGTTGCTGGAAATTGTGAATTGGTTGAGCATGAAATTAAATTGAAGGATTGCCGTTCAATAAAGCAGGCTCCTCGTCAAATTCCTATCCACATGTAAGACAAGGTGACCAAAATAATTGAAAAAATGACAAGCAGGAGTAATAGAGGAATAAAAAAATCTGTGGATGTCTCCTGCGGTATTAGTAAGGAAAAAAGATGATACAATATGCTTTTGCGTGGATTTCAGTAAGTTAAATGAGATTACGGTAAAAGATTCTTACCCTCTTCCTAGGATAGACGAGATCCTCGATCGTCTCTCAGGTAACTTTTGGTTTTCCATTTTAGATTTAAAGAGTGAGTATTGGCAAGTTAAATTCATTAAGATGGAGATTTTCGGAAGATAAAGATAAAACAGCTTTTTCTGTTGAGAACGGGTTATGACAGTTTACAGTAATACCATTCGGTCTGTATAACACTCCTGCCACTTTTCAAAAATTAATAGAACAGGTTTTACAAAATTTACCTAGGAAAATTTGCTTTGGATTTGTTTGGATGACATAATTATGTTCAGTAAGGGTTTTGAGGAAATGATAGCGAATTTAAGAAAAGTTTTTCGTCGATTTCGGGAAGTAAACTTAAAGTCAACCCAAAAAAGTGTAATTTGTTTGGTAAAGAAGTTAAATATTTGGGGCATGTTGTGTCGGCAGGGGAAGTTACCACAGATCCGGAAAAGCTGCTGCGGTGAAGGATTCAATTCTACATAATAAGAAGCAATTGCAAAGCTTTCTTAGTTTTGTTCTTATTATCGAAGATTTGCGAAAGACTTCTCTACATTAGCAAAGCCACTGTATAAATTAATGGAAAACCAAATTAATTTTTCTCGAGGGGAGGAATGTCAAACAGCTTTCGAACAAATAAAACAAATATTAATATCCTCTCCGATGTTGTCCGTGTGGAGAAGGGGAATTTATTTTAGACAGATGCTTCGAATATTGGAATTGGTGTGATTCTGTCACAGAGGCAAGATGGAATGGAAAAGGTTATAGCTTATTTTAGCTGAGTGCTTAATAAAACTGAGAAAAATTATTGTGTTACCCGTCGAGAACTTTTAGCCATCGTGGATTTGGTGAAATCTTTTCACCATTATCTTTACAGGCGAAAGTTTTTAATCCGTTTTGCTTAAATGGCTATTGTCCTTCAAGAATTTGGAGGACAATTGGTTTGAAAGATTACAGTAGTATGAGTTT